CACACACACACACACACACACACACACACACACACACACACACACACTCTTCTAGTAGAAGATCTCTGGTTGCACTTCTCCAGAGTGGAATAGCCTGAGGTTTAAATTCTAAGGTAGGACTTAAGAATCCCTTAAAAGTCAGAATCAACCTTCATTCAGGAACACCCCTATAGAACTTTGAGGGACTCACTAAGCTCCTGTGGGTTATTAATTCAACCATTATTCATTCAGCATCCATTAAGTACCTACTATGTGCAAAGCAGTATGCTAGGTCAGTAACATAGAAACTCAGCAGATATAAATATTGTTAGTGTAAGGGTGGGGATTTCTACCCCTACTCCAATTAACATTATCATAGGAAAACTAATTGCTAACAAATTCTTGATCAGTTTGAGAGGAGCAAAGTACTTTGATCATTGAATGACAATGAACAGGAAATATCTTGTGATTGGCTGAAAGACACACACACACACACACGCACGCACACACACACCCCCACACACACATACACACACACATACACACACACACACACAGTCCTATACATAATATAGCAAGCCTGCTCAGAATCCTGCATTTCAGGAAAGTAATAGTTGAATCTAGTGATTAAGGACTCCTGAAAGGGAAATAGTTTGTGGGAATAGTTTTTCTTCTCCCACCTCTCATCGACCAAGAGACAGCCTTGTGAACTTTGAAAGATCAGAAGTCCCCGTGGGAGTCAGAAGGCAGTATTTGCATTAGAAACTAAGAGACATATCAACTAAACACATCAGCTCTCAAAACCTATTAGTGAGTTATGTCTAAGAAGATTTTCATAAGAACTCCATGAGAGAATAAGATGTTTCCAGTAACCAGGAACTGTGAATTTATTCTTTGTCCACATGCAATCTCTAAGTTGGAAGTTATTCTCTTCAGGGACATTGTTGTTACAAGAGGAGAGGGCACTCCTGATTTGAGGTGGTGGGGGAAGGAATTCTATAATCACTTTCTTTCTATATATCTGCTTAGTAAATAAATACCTTTTCTGAAAGATAATTGTTTAACTGATAACCAATAGTGAGCACACTGATAGGGGCTCATTATTGACAGTACTAGAAAATCTTTAGGAATCCTAAAGTAAGTAGTAGAACTCTAAAATTAGTAATAGCCAGTTATCTCTGGGGACCTGGCATACTAGTTCAAGAGTAACCCCAGAGAGGGTACCATATTAGGATTTATCATTATTAGTTAGAAGGAGTTGTTTAGTAACTATTATAACATGTAATTAGATGATTTTATGATTGGGGACATCACTCAGCTCTAAATCTTTTTTATTATTGCTGAATAGTTTGTATAAACAGCCATATTTATTATTTACCATTATAAATACTACAAATGTTTGCAAAAATAAAACTTTTATCTCAATAATATTGTGTGTGCATTTTCTGAGAACTCTGGAGGGCATTATCTTATTATTAGACAGGCCTTTACTTAGGAAGAGAGTAGAGTTTCATAGTACAAAGGAGAAGAGGAGGTTGTATCCCAACATGGGAAAATTTCCCTTAAAACTGCAATGCTACAAGGAGGAAAAAAAGTGTGTCATGCTATTCTATACCTTCACTTTGTCCTTTCTGCTATCAATGTGAGGATTCAGATTCTGATACTGAGTCAGAGCAGTATAGCCCAGTATATTATTGCCCATTGTCAATTATAGTTTCTATCTCTCCTCTCTCCCTCTTCTCTTATCTTTGATGGAGCTAATAAGCATATTTCAGTTAAAGCAATAATTTGGGGCAATTAGAAGCAATAGCATAGTCAAGCTTTGGAAAGGTTATCTTGCAACGTCATTTTACTGACTAATGTGCTCCCCACTGCCATGTCGCTTGTGAACAGACATGTGTTCACAGGCCAGTGTGCTTCATCTGTGGTGACTTTGATTTATTTGCTCTGTAAATTGGGACTGAAGCAATAATAGAAAGTGACATTAATTGTTTAACAGAGTTCTCTTTGTCACATCCATTGCTTTCTCTGGGGTGTTTGATTGTTGAAACTTGTACAAAACTAATTGAAATTGCCATGATGAGGGCTAGTGTCCACTCAGCTTTTCACTTGGGAATGTCAGTACACTTGAATATCTGTTTAAACCTCCAACTTGAAAGATCTACCAGCAGACATTGGACTTTCTTATAGCATTATATGATTAAAGAAAGCATTTAAGATCTGAAAAAAGAACACATAATGTTTCCTGTTAATTACATTTATTTTTGCTTTTCTATCTTTTAAAAATTTTAAGTATTTATTTTTTAACTCCAATCTCCCTACCCCCATTAAATAAAAGAAAAGAAAAAAGAAAAACCGCGCACCTTGTCAAGCAAAGCTGATTCCCTTATTTATTGTCCACATCCAAAAACTTGTATCACATTCTGCATATAAGCCCATCAACTCTCTGTCATGAGGTGAGCAGTATTTTTCATCATTAGTTTTCTGGAATCATGTTTGATTATTGTGTTGATCTTTCAGAATTGTCCATTTTTGTGTTATTGATGCCATAGGATAAAATCTTCATCTGATGCTTATTGATGTTATAATATAAAATCTTGATCTGGTTCTATGCACTTTACTCCACATGCGTACATCCAGGTTTCTCTGAAACTGTCTCTTTCTTAATTTATTAAAGCATATAATTACATTCATATACCTTGATTTGTACTTTCATTCCTGTTTTAATAGGCACCCCCAGAGTTTTCAGTTCTTTGCCACTGCACAAGTTGACGCTACATATGTTTGTACCTTTTTTTCTCTTCCTTGTATCTCTCTGGGGTATAAGACCTAATAGTTGTATTGCTGGGTCAAAAGGCATGCACGGTTTAGTAATATGGGGAGGGACCTTGTTCCAAATTGCTTTACAGAATTGTTACAGCAATTCCTAGCTTTAGCAACAGTACATCAATAGGCCTTTTCACCTGTAGTCTCTCCCAACATTTGTCATTTTCCTTTTTTGTCAATTTTTCTAGTCTCAGGGATGGGACTAGAACCTCAGAGTTGCTTTAATTTGTATTTCTCTAATCATAAGTGATTTGGGACATTTTTATGGATATATTTTGCTTGGATTTCTTCCCTTGAGACCTATCTGTTCATTTCCTTAGACTATTTATCAATTGGGGAATGGTTCTTAGTATTGAAAATTCAAATCAGTCTTAGAAATGAGACTTTATCAGAGAAACTGGCTACTAAGAATCTCCCCCCC